GCAAATTAAACAACCTCCTTCCTGATTCTGTTCACGTTTGTGTACAAACCCCAACTGCAACATGCCAAGGTATTTACATCACACCTGCAAGCCTTCCCGAGCTTTATCCTCACTCCTTGTCGGCCATTTAACGAAGCTGCCACGCAAGGAAGCCGGGATAGCTGTCGGTATACACGTAGCGACTAGCTACGGACGCGACGACCGAGGGGTCGGGGTTCGATTTCCGGTAGGGTCGGAAATTCTCTATTCTCCGCGTCTTCCAAACCGGCTCTGAGGCCCACCCAGACTGGGGCTCGTTCCCCGTGGGTAAAGCTATCGAGGAGTGAACCTGACCACTCACCTCCAGCTAGTGCAGGTCAAGAAAACGTGGAGCTATACATTCACTCCCCCATACGCCTTCATCGCGTACCACTTAATTAGTTAACCACAGGGTCTTTACCTTGCCTCAGGATGGAAGGAAGGGCGGCAGTGGCCTAACTGATAAATTCCTGAACGGCCAGGGGAAACCCATGAAAACCTCAGTGTCCAGAGTAGGTGTCGGGGCCAAGATTCGAACTGGGCACCTGCAATGGAAAACATTACCGCTGCACTCAGACTGCACGGTATGAAGACGTATGGGGGAGTGGAGATATAGCTCCACGAATCTAGACCTCGGCACTGGACCCGCCCCCAGCGGAAACAGCGCCCGGTAGCCACTGTATAGAACACTGGGTGAGGCTGTGGCCGTTGTGGAAAACAGAATACTCCCCTGTCCCTGTCGGGGTTACAATACCCGTTTCCAAACAATAAATTCAATGTGTCCCACTTCAAAAGGGTGAATTATTTGAACCTGCTGTCTGTCACACACACACACACACACACACACACCTTGTCCAACGACTGAGCCTGGTGAATGATATCGCGTTTTAGCGTGTAGAAACACGTTTCCGCGGCAACGAAAACGAATGCAACAAGAGGTACTGTTGGAAGCTTGTGTTTTCTACTCGGTTCGCGCAAAAGGGGCTATAAGGTGGGCAAATGAAGCAATAAGGGACGGACCCTGTGTGGAGGCGGGGTCGAATACCTCCACTGTGACCCTGCGAGTAGTAGGAGGCGACGAAAAGGGAAGTCTCAAATCTGAGACAGTAAAATGTGGTCGCGAGTCCGAAGAGACTCGGACCCGAGAGAGACTGCACTGGCAAGGGTCAGCAGCATATATAAAAGAGAGAACCGCCCTCTCGTCAAAGACGGCGCCCCACAGAAGCAAGACCGTAACTGTCAAACGGTAATAATTAATATCTGGTCATGAGCCCCAGATTGGGCTCGACACCAAGACTCACTGACTGACCGACCGTCAGTCGCAATGTGACTTTTACTTTGACAATAAGGGACGGGGGTCGAATACCTCCATCGTGACCCTGCGAGTCGTAGGGGGCGACGAAAAGGGAAGTCTCACATCTGAGACGGTAAAATATGGTCGCGAATCCCAAGGGACTCGGACCCGAGAAAGATTGCGCTGGCAAGGGCCAGCAGCATATACAAAAGACAGACCCGTCCTCTTGTCAGAGAGGGCTCCCCACAGAAACAAGACCGTAACTGTCAAATGGTAATAAGTAATATCTGGTCATGAGTCCCAGATTGGGTTCGACACCAAGATTTTGTGACTTAAGACTTTGACAATAAGGGACAGAACTCAAGTTCATCAAGTGGGGTCGAATACCTTCACCGTAGCCCTGTGAGTCATAGGAGGCGATTAAAAGTGAACCCAGTTCCTGGGGGTATAACTGAGGCATGTGTACCTGGGACATAAATACGGGGCCCTGCCCCTCCAGGTTGGGGGAGTCTCGAATCTGAGACAATAAAATGTGAACCTCCCCCTTTCCCTTCTTCTCTCTAATGCTACTCACTACGAGAGCCGTGAAGAGGGAAGTAGCAGCCCATCGCCGCTGGCTCTATTGCTCTGTTCGCACGCTCCCCGAGATAGACGTGGGGTTTCCAAGCTATGTGGAGAAGCTACAGTGATATGTTGGCCTCAGAAAACAACATAGAAAATTTAATAACAAAATAAATAAATTACAGACATAATAAAGAAACACATAATCCTGGCAGAACACGGGGTACAACAACCCAATACACGATTGCTAAGCAATCTCTCGTCGCCAGAACTTGCGACGCAAAATAAACCAACTCGTCCCAGTTTCCAACTTCCCTTGGGTTTTGAATGGGTTACCCCCTAGCAAACACAAATAATACAGATGCAGGTAAATACAAAATGATAACACGCATCGCAACCGTCCTACCCAACGGCTTGCGATGCGGGCAGCCTTACTTTACCAGCCCGCCAGATACTAAACCAAATTTTTAAGTACCCCAGCCGAAATGGAATTTCCAACAACGATCCCTGCTATCTGGTAATCGCCTTCTCCGGTCAACGTCGTCCGACAGACTGCACAGTACGTCTATCCTCGTTCCGAGACTAGGAAGTGGGAAGGGGACACTAGTACCTCAACATTATTAGGGGTGGGGATCGATTCCGGGAATGGCAGCCGCCATGACGTCACGCCGAGAGCGAGCTTACCTTCAGCACTTCTCAAATGTGGTCATGAGTCCGCAGGACTAAGAATTGAGAATGCCTGCGCTGGCGAGTACCTGAAGCAACTGTAAACGGCAGACCCATCCTCTCGTCAGAGGATATTATATAAGGCATATAACCGCAAGTGTTCACTTGGAAAATAAAAATTGTGGTCGTGGTTCTCGAGGGGCTTGTCGCCAAGACGAACTGATTAGCGGTAAACCGTCAGTCGTAAAGTAACTCTGACTGCATATGGGACAGTTGAAAGGGGGGCCGTAGTCCAGATAGGACTTGAACACGGAAGTTGAGGAATAGCCATTGCTGGAAGCCGTTACCACGAAACGTCTAGTGAACACACTGCAGACTGTCCTGCAATGATTTGTAAAGTCTGGAAATAGGCGCTAGTGTTATAGTTACTTGTAGTTATGGCCTGTAAGTGGTCAACAAACCCAATTATCCAAAACCTCGTCTACTGTCACCCCTAAACCGGGACAATACATACTGAAGATTACAGTCACCCAGGATGTGATGCTGTGCAGTTTTGCAGTTGCTTACTGTCATCTTGGAGAATAGTACTACCTCCATTATCAGGATAAAGTGTGGAAATGAAGTGGAAAGAAGGTGGGACGGGAGAGGGGCCCTGAGCGACCAACATAACTTTCTCCACGCTCGGACTTACTATTCCACTATGAAGATGGAGGCAGCACGAAACTTCGAATCGTTGGTAAACATCTACCAGTCCGCCATACTGTGTTGGATGTGAAGTTCCCAGGGATGTTATGAAGTCAGGTAACAGTGCAGTGTAGCGGAGCAACCTACTGCCTCCATCTACGGTAATACCGTGTCTCACGGTGTTGTCGCTTGCAGATTTACTTATACTTTTTCTTCAACCCTGAAGAGGGGGGCGATACGTTCCTCCGAAACGTCGGTTAACACCACATATACACGGTGCCAAATCCCAGAAGACTGCTTTCTTCAAAATGTGGGAGGTTTGAATGGAACAGCCTAAATGCTACTAAGCAACGTCACAAAGTCGCTGCCGCGAGAACGTCTGATCTCGCGTGTTTCGCCGTTTATACTCGTATACTTCATAAGTCTGCAGAATTGAAGATGATAACAGTTAAGTCAGTGGTCAATGCCATCAACCCTTCGCAGGACTGTGGTGTCTCCAACGTGACGTAACGGTCAGTAACCTGATATTTCCGCCAAGTGAATACATGGCTTGGTCTGCTTTCCACTGGCTGACTTTGGCAACAAAATCGTGCCTGTTTTCTAGAGGGCGGCCGTTACGACGCTGTCACTACACGGACTATATACGGCGTCGAATGGCTGAATTACATGAATGACGAATTGCAGTTGACTGGGAAGGAAGAGATAGTGGCGTAATTTCAGTTCCCATTCTGGTATTTGCCTGGAAGGGCTGAGGAAAAGCTTTAAAACCCTCAGTCGTAACAGTCAGTATCCCGGTCGAGGTTCGAACCGAGCATCTGTGGAATACGAGTCTAGACAGTTACCGCTATGCCAGCCTGCTCGGACTCACAATACAAAGATATGATGCAGCACATAGGCTGCCGCGTGCCTAGTCACCGCGGCGCGGCGCGTCCTTGAGTTGCCTCCACATATGGAATGGTGCGTGCGAATATACTGAATAAGGGAGTCGCGGACAGCCGACAAGATGTAGTCCTCCAGCTATTGTTACGAAACGTCACATAGGGCCATGGATTTGGGAGGATTCTTTGAATAAACTACCTGACATTAGGGGAGGAACACAGACTGAGGGTGTTTGAGAACAGGGCGCTGAGAATATTTGGACGGAAGAGAGATGCAGTGATGGTAGGTTGGAGAAAACTGCATAATACTCATCGCCAAGTATAATTAGAATGATAAAGTCAAGGAGGATGAGATAGGCAGGGCATGTGGCACGAATTGGGAGAAGAGGAATGCATACAGGATTTCGGTGGGAAAGCCAGAAAGAATGACGCCACTATGAAGACCTAGCCGTAGGTGTATATATAATATTAAGATTAATCTTAAAGCCAGGTAGGATGGGGTGATATAGACTGGATTGATCTGGCTCAGGATATTGACCACTGGAGGGTTCTTTTGAAAACGGTAAGGAACCTTCAGGGTCCATAAAATGTTGCCAGCCAGTAAGGGCAAGAGCCTTCAGCTAAGAGTAGTAACGAGAATCCCCATTGTTAAAACCTCCACCAAGCACCGAGTAGTGCAGGAGTTGCTGATAGATTCTGTAGACGAATGAAGGCGTTAAATCATTACCAGTTCAACGAATTTACTAATCTATAAAGCCTGTGTTTAGTAACTAACCCACGACAATGTGTTAACATAAAAAAATCAGGTCTGGGTTCAAAAAATATTGATTTATAATCATAAACAGAACCAGTCCACCTACAACTAATAATAAAAAATTAACAAAACACGGTGTAAATACCTTGATTATTTTATCACCACTGTGCAAGCCTGCCCTCTCCGCTGCGCCACCTGTGAAAAATGTGCAGAAAAACACCAACTATAAACAAAAACATTAAAACAGAAATGTGAATCAATCCAAAACTACAATCTACACTATGTGCACAGACCTACTCATACCCCGACATACTTCCAAAAAGAAACAGCCAAAATGGAACAAATGGATTTTAGGTTTCTGCCCGTCACCAGTAGTCAAATCTGGCTTCAATTACCCAGCACACAAGCAAGTACAGAGGTTTCGGTTTAAATCCCATATAGGCCTAATAAATGAAAACATCTGACACAGACAATTTGCACGGTAGGCTTGGAACATGTCACAGCCAACACTTAACTTCTGAATCTTTGCCTGACAAGACGGAGTACACACTACAGCAATGTGCGATTACGGTGCAAATATTTTATTCAGCTGACAGCGTGACTGAAGTCAGTGCCACATAATGGGGCTCGACCAATTCCGGATGCATTTCAGTCGGTGATCGTGTTACCTAGAACCACTTTCCCCAATATTTTCGCTACAAACGGTCTTGCCCAGTTTTCTCCCAACCCAAACCCCTGCGACTACTTCTTACAGGGTGCAGCTGAAATATAATGCGAACAGAAACCATCCCCAAACAGACCGTGAGCTGAAGGAAGATACTTCATGTTGCCATCAGAATCGTTGCACACACTACAAACTGAGTAAAAATGTGAAGGTGTATGTATGTGGACATGGATGTATACATTCGTGCATTCATCTCTGAACTAGGTGGTGAGTGGTCAGTTTCACGCCCCGGCCGCTTTACCCTCGGGGAAAAAGCCCAGGTATCCACTGGATAGGAGGCTGGGTGGGATCGTTCTTGATGACACGGAGAGGAGAAAAATCTTACCCGTATTGGGAGTCGAACTCCGACCACTGGGCCGTCCAGCCCGTAGCTAATCGCTACACCGATTCAGCTATCCCGGCTGCTCTCTAAACTGAGTAGTGATCAATTTTCAATGTCTGGTATAAATGGTCTTGGATGCTGGTAGGTCACATATTGAACATGTGGTTGACTTGACACATTCATCTCCCAAGGCCACTGTGCTAATCAGCGCAAAATTAATTCATCGGGATTCACACAGCCGTCCCCTTGGTTCTGAGATGCATGGCACAAATGTTTTGGAGAAATACAGAGTCCTGAAATAAGCCAACTTGAAAGAAAGGTTGGTTGGAGTCAGGGAATTCACTCGCATGCCCCAAACATAATTACAAACACTACGCAATAACTTTCTAATGAAAACAAAACTTTGCAAATACTGTGTACTTCGTGCCACTGTCCCACTGCATGCCATTTCCTTCAGTCTGTGATCCAACCCTCGCCCCCAACACCTTGCCGTGCCACGTTCCCGGTAACCTTCGCAAACACGAACTGCTATGTCGGCCTGGAGGGACGGCAACCCTCTCCTCTTCTAGTCGGTGCATTACTGCGTAATTTAGAATAAGTTCATTCGAGACCTTCTACGACCCAGATCGTCCTGTATACAAGAAGTGATGTATATTCATGAACAACGAGAAGCAAAGCACCCTGATGGCCCAACAGAAACTGTAAAACGTAAAATTGTCCCTGTGCTTAACTAATTAAGCACTACGCCATGAAGTAGTATGGGGGATGGACAAAAATAAGGAAACATCCAACAAAAAACACATTACCGTGACTAATATGGTGTAGGAAAACCTCTGGCTTGCAGAACTGCTCGCAGTCTCCTTGGAATGGATAAATAGAGGTCCTGTATGATTTGCAAGGGAATCTTGTACCATTTTTCCTGCAAAACATTGGCAAGTTCTGTTAACGATGATTGAGGTGGATAGCGCGCACGCAGATTGCTCTCCAAAACAGACCACAAAGACTCAATAATATTGATATCTGGCGATTGTGGGGCCATAGCAGACGTGACACTTCGTGTTCAGAAAACCAGTCCTGGACGATGTGAGCTGTGTGAACACGGGCATTGTCGTCTTGGTAAATGGCATCACCTTTGGGAAACAAAAGTTTGCACCATGGGATGGACCTGGTCGCCCAGAATGGTCACATAGTCGTTGGCAGTGACGTGACCTTGCAGGGTAATGATGGGTCCGACAGAATACCGCGATATGGCTGCCCATACCATGATCGAACCCCCTCCATGTTTCACTCTTGGCAGCAAACAATATGGATCGTAAGCTTGGGATGGCGTTCTCCAGGTGTAAACTCGGCCAGAAGTCGGAAACTGTATGAAGGTGAACTCATCCGACCAAATGACAGTCTTTCCATTGCTCCACAATCCAGGTTTTATGACTTCGGCACCACATTCTCATCTTAGTGGCATTTTTATCACTGATGAGTGGCTTTGGAATTGCAGCTAGTCCAGAAATACCCTGCTTGTGGAGTTCCCTTCGTACTGTTTTGGTGCTGACAGGGTTTGTGAGCGTGACATTCAGTTCAGCAGTCACTTTTCCTGCTGCAGTCTTCTTATTTTTCGTCACAATCCTACCCACTGTTCGTCTGTTTCGATCACTCAACACACATTTCCGTCCACGCTGGTGTTTATCAAATGCGGGTTTTCCAGTCCTCCTGTATGCGGTCATAACCTTGCATACTGTGCCTCGCGAAACACCAAAAACCTCGGCTACCTTGGTTACGGAAGCACCTACCATATGGGTCCCAATAATTTGCCCGCGTTCGCATTCTGCTATCTCTGACATGATGCACTAAAAACTGCACAGGACACTGTCTCGACAACAAATGAACCTTGCAACGTATTGCGGAGGGTGTACAGGTAGTGGTATTGGGCAGATACGGCAGTGTCACCTACAAACGTCGCTAAAATAAACACTTCAATTCAGGCATGCATTACACGAGGTGTTTCCATATTTTTGTATATATCCACGTTGACCTTGGCACTAGTTGGAGGTGAGCGGTGAGCTTCACGACCCGGCTGTTTTACCCCAGGGTTAAAGAGTCCTCGGTACACACTGAACACGAGGCCTGGCGGTCCCCAGAGCTGGTCTGGACGTCGTGGAGAAGAGAGAATTCTTGACCTTACTGGGCCTCGAACTCCGACCCCTCTATCGGCCAGCCCATAGCCAATCGCCATACCGACTTCGCTATCCCAGTTCCCAACACGAACTTCAGTCCCTGAAAAAAGAAACTAGTCCAGGACTGGAAGAAGAAATAGTGAGGAAGACCACTTTCACAGGGCACGGAAAGAGAAGCAATGAGCAGTCTTCTCACAAAGCGGAGACGGAAGGGAAATGAAATCAAGAATGAGAACCTTTTCGGAGTCACAGAACGGAAGAGAAGGTGATTTATCGCGATCTCATTAAGGTTTCCCCTGAATATGGAGGCAGTACGTTCTTTCGAAACACTGGAACCACGTGCCAGACCCAAAAGGCCATAATTCGGATACAGATCCCAGACAGCCTGTGCTTTCCGTTTCGGAAGAGTTTCTGGAAGTATGTCGCTGGTTTGACAAAATAAACAAAAACAACAAACGTGACAAACATCGACTTACCTTCCTTTACTGACTGCACATACACAGGTTTATCCCCAGACACTTTCATTCCATAGCCAGTTTCATCCTTATAAACTATGACAGTCACAGCCGGAATGTGGTGAGGCTGAACTGTGACTCCGCTACCACCGTCCACCTGTGGATTCACCGAAACTGGTCTCGAACTCGGGGTCCTGCGCAGAGACGGGCCGTTCGCGACACCACTGCCCCCAGTCGGCCTGAAACAAACATTGGCTTGGTGAACACAACACACTTCACGTTCAATTTCCAACTAAGGTTCTCACTGCGGCTAGACACGGGGATGGGATTCATCACTAAATTTACTGAACACCCGAGACTCGTAACTACAGGTAACTACATCACTCTAACGTGCTCAGTTTGTTATGTCTCCATTAGTCGTTGCTAGCTAGCGGTTTCTAGCAATGGATATTATTATTCTTCCGTACTCACGGTCAACCACCACCTCTGACTGCTCACTCAACAACTAACTGGTAACAGCCGACTTCCGACTCGCTAACTTAGCATAGCTGTAAACTGCTGGTCCTCGCCAGCACAGCCGTTCTTGGATTCGGGCACCATCAGGACACGTGACTAAACTGCTCGTTCCCATACTGTCTCCGCTTCGGCGAGAGGAGGGGACTGTGTTTCTGGGTAGGAACCCGCACTCACGCAGTGTCAAGGTGAGGGCACTTACACTACAGGGACACCACATACGCCTTGTCACTTCAGTGAATGCATGACATTTATATAAGATATACACAGGACATCCGTCGATATAGACTTGAGCAGCAGGTTATGTCTTAACGCTTTACGGACTCTCTCCTGCAAATCAAGTAATTATAGGAAAGTAATAATTAAGGCGAAGTGAAGATGTGAGAGAAATCATCCAAAAATGCAGTGAAGTGAAGTGAAGTGAAGTGAAGTGAAGTGAAGTGAAGTGAAGTGAAGTGAAGTATTTTAAGGATGTGAGGGGTACGTGAGTGCACTGAACTCGAATGAAGTGAAGGCCATGGCGAAATGTGGGCGCATCAGTTCACAACATCACGTATTTCATTACTGATACTGTTTAGTGTATAGCATACTTATTTTTTATTAATATTAATTTATTTAATTGTAGTTGTAATTGTATTTGTTGTAGGTGTAATCGTATTAGCATTGTATTCATTTTGTGTCGTGTCCTTTATTGCTTGTGTAATTTTGTGTGCTGCATTGAGTGTGGTACGTCATTTTGTGTGATGTGTGCTATTTGTGTATGTCTTAGTTGTAGTATCACTACCACTGGGTAAAACCCCATTTGCAGTTTAAATAAAAGAAATAATAATAATAACTTAACGACTCCCAAACGGCAGACACTTATACTCGTACGGTCACAAGCCTGACCGCCGACATGTTTAAACCATTTACACTTCCTATGAATAATTTCTCCCTGTCCAACTACACGTACATTTTCATAAGGATGATTGTGGGCGACTTCTGCCTGTTTCCTGTATAATCCTGTTATGTAATCGTGCCCGTTCTACAATTAGTATACCATTAGTATTTGTACTGCATTCGAAATTACTGTCACTGTCTGACTGTTAGGTGGCTGAGTTGGTTATGACTTGACTACAATTATTTTGGGCGGATCTTTAATTTCATGCTATATCACATCTTTCTATGTTTTCTATGTCTATGTGATGTATGCCTTACATTTCTACTTACAGAGGACTTCTCTTTACATTCTCCACTAATTGTGTGAGAATATCTTCTGGCATGTCCTATACTTCATCATGATACCATTTGGCAAAAGGATGTTATTTTTAGTTCTGCTCCTTCGACACACACTCGCTCGGACATTTCCACGACACACGGATTCACTTGCCTCCAGCGCCGCCTTCTTCAGGGAAGAATATCTACGATTGGAGAACGTGCCCCTCGTTTCAAAGGTGTACTCGATTGATTTTAAATAAAGCCTCTGTGTCTGTGAACACCCTGGATGTGTTCTTTAAGGTCGGATGCTGCTGCATATATCCACTGTTAAGTGCCTTTAGGCAGAGGAAGCATTGTGGCTCTTGCAGACCGCAGTCATCAGAACACCCCATAAAAAGCGAAAATGCGCATATGTGCGAAGTGGGTCACAAGCGCCCTAAGAGAACCTGGTTCTACCGTGCCTCATAAAACAAACGATTGTTACACAGGACTCAGGACTACACGTCTAAACAAAAAGTAAACTAACATAACTGCAATAACAATAATAATAATTAACCAATACTCGTCTGATTTTAACTAATTTAAATTATCCCAGTTTTATTTGATCAAAACCAATGTACCTATAAAAAGCAATTTTAATGTTAAAAAAAAAGGTAAAGCTATCCATGTAACAGGCCGTGGAGGCCCATAGGGTTGAAAGACGTCGAGGCTCCCACATTTCCTAGACAATCGGCTCACAGCTGGCGGTGAGGCTGTCAGCCTTACGCNGAGAGACGTCGAGGCTCCCATATTTCATAGACAATCGGCTCACAGCTGGCGGTGAGGCTGTCAGCCTTACGCGCCTGCCGGCAGGAAGATTCCTGGTACCGATTTCTGTTACCCACGGCCACAGTGCTGCTGAAAGGATTAGGTCAGCTGAAAGATTCAATGGCCTCACTTGAAATCGAACCCGCGATCTTCCGGCTTGTAGCACAGTACCTCAACCAACTAAGCATACACGGTGCCAAATCCCAGAAGACTGCTTTCTTCTAAGCCATGCCTCCATCATCATCTGGTCTTATAGTAACAACCCGAGATTATGTTGGATTTGCGGTTGTCACGGCAGTAAAGTGTTCGCTAAACGCAGTCCCCGTTACCGCTGCTTCGTTATTACGCTGATGCGACACCAAAGCCCCAAACGTCGTCTTATTGTGTCACTGTTCCCAAGAAAATGGTCCACGAGAAGGCCCAAGCACTACGCCATGAATACGTATGGGGGAGTGGATGTATACACCCACGCTTTCTTAACCTCGGCACTATGTGGAGGTTACTCGCCCAAATGTTAATGGGACCGGGCTGTCATCCACCTCCCGCTCGCGTCACCTTTGTCCACACGTGAATACAACACAGCATACCAAATATTAAACAAACATTATTGTAGTTTATAATTGTATGAATATAGGACAAGTTCGCTCAGGGCTGTGGCAGAAGAAATCTTAAACTATAAGTTAGATTTAGCGGGGGTACAAGAGGTCAGATGGGACTGAGGGGGCATCGCATCAGCAGGCGAATATACGTAGTGCAATCCAAAAGTTCCCGAAATATATTAATAAGAACTATTACATCTTACCTAGATCTTATTCTGCACCATCACCTTCAAAGTAGTCCCCTTGGGAGCGCATACACCGATCCCAGCGTTTCTGCCACTTTTCAAATGCATCCTGAAAGTCTTTCTTTGTTAGGGTGTTTAGTACCGTCTGCGTTCCCGCTTGAATTTCCTCAACTCAAATCTTCGCCCCTTCAACTTGATTTTCATCTTGGGGAAGAGAAAGAAGTCGCATGGAGCTAAGTCTGGCGAGTACGGTGGGTGGGGAACAACTGCCATCTTGTTTTTAGCCAAAAATTCCTGCATAATGTAAGCCATATGCGGTCGTGCGTTGTCATGGTGGAGTACCCAGTTGTTCGTGTGCCACTTCTCTGGACGTTTTCTCCTCATGTCCTCCCTCACACGCCTTAGGACATCACGATAGAACTCTTTATTGACTGTCTGACCAGGAGGGACGAACTCCTTATGAACAATCCTGTCAATATCAAAAAAACAGATCAACATGGACTTAATGTTGCTCTTGACTTGTCGAGCTTTTTTTGGCCGAGGTGAAGAAGGGCTCTTCCATTGCGATGATTGCTGCTTGCTTTCAGGGTTGTAGCCACAAACCCAACTTTCATCACCAGTGACAACCTTCGACAGAAAGTTTGGATCCTCTTGAAGCTGTTGCTGAAGTTCCCTGCAGACTTCCAAGCGATGCTGCTTCTGTTCATTTTGCAGCAGTCGTGGCACAATCTTCGCCGCAATCCTCCTCATGTTCAGTTCCTCTGATAAAATTCGTTGACATGTACCATAACTTAGTCCCAAGGTGTTACAGAGGTCTTGGCTGATCAGTCTGCGATCTTGCAGAATCAGATACCTAACTTTCGCGACATTTTCTGGTGTTTTGTCCGTTGACGGCCGTCCCTAACGATCGTCATCATCAGTCAAAGTTCGGCCATTTTTAAAACGCTTATACCAGTTGTAGGTTTGTGTCTGGCCTAAACTGTTTTCACTAAAAGCTTGCTTCAACATTTGTTGCGTTTATGCAGCGGTTTTCCCAAGTTCGAAACAAAACTTTATACAGACACGCTGCTCTCTCAGGTCAGCCATCGCAAAACCGCAAATTCACGGAAACACAACAATGGAAATACGTTCACCAACAATAAACCAACCACTCAACTCGACGCCGCTTGCCACACCGATTCAAGAAGTATGTGTGAGGAGACACCTAGCGGTATTTCGATGTACTCATAACCATTCGCGCGCAAAATTCAAATTTCGGAAACTTTTGGATTGCCCCACGTACATTTTTCTATGGAAAATGGAATGAAAATCATGAATTAGATACAGGTTTTTTCATACATAAGAGAATCGTATCAGCAGTTAAGAGGGTAGAGTTCGTTAGTGATAGGATATCATATATAATACTAAAAGGTCGCTGGTGTGATATCATCGTTATGAATGTTCACGCCCCAACAGAAGATAAAACTGATGACACAAAGAATAGATTCTATGAAGAACTAGAACATAATGTGAGTAAGTAAAGGTATCCCTGTAACAGGATGTGGATGCTTATAAGGTTCTGAGACGTTGAGGTTCCCACATTTTCTAGACAATCGGCCCATTGATGGCGGTAAGGTTGTCAACCCTACGCGCCTGCCGCCCTTTACCCCCAAGAATATTCCTGGTACTCATTTCTGTTAAGAGGCAGAGTAGGCCGCGCCATAGCTCAAGCGATTAGTCGCCGGCTTCCCACAGCGGCGGCCCGGGTTTGATCAAGTGGGATTTGTGGTGAACATAGTGGCGCTGGGGCGGGTTTTCTCCGAGTACTTCAGTTTCCCCGGCCAATCTTCATTCCACCAATTTCTCCANGTTATGAATGTTCACGCCCCAACAGAGGGCAAAATTTATGATATGAAAGAATGGCTCTATGAAGAACTAGAAAGTGTATTCGATAAATTC